CAACTAGCTCGAGTCGCGGCGACAGACGGCCTTAGAATTGCGAAGATTGTTCGCCTTCTACTCACTGGCGATGGAAGTAAGAGCAAGTCTCCGCGTTCTCATCTTACAGTAATGCACTCGACATTATTTTTTTTCTCTACCGAAAACTTATGTCATTAGAAAGCAAATCGTCTCTTATATGTCACAGGAAAATCACCATTACAGATGTCTTGTAGTTAAGGATAATATCCCAAGTTCTCGTTGTCTATCTGGCATTTTCGATGAATAGAATACTGATTATGCTTGCCACTATGTACAGGCTGGACCGCTGAAGCAACTAGCATTGTTTGTTGGTTGCGATTAAACTCGAGAGCATCGCTGGTAGTTGTCATGCCGACCATTTCAAGTCAACAATTTATAGGATTCAGTGCCTTTATATCTAGCAGGAACCTCATTAGATTTTTCCTAACCAGGTTTATTGTTCAATTCATAATTTTTAAGTCAATATGTTTGATCTTCAACGTGGTAGTAATTATATTTACTTTATTTTGTCCACTTAATGAGCTCAGAAAAAAAAGATGTCCCCAGTCCACTTTTTTATGTATTAAAGTGCATACTTCCAAAACAAAATTTGAAAATACGTATTGTTTGATTAAATTCAATATGATCCGCTAGATAACAAATTTTTCATGGTCAAATTAAAAACATTGAAACTGGCATATTGAGCGATTTACATATATAAGTCTAATTTTCATGTATGCTCTTTTGAAAATAACTCACTACTAAATAAATAATCCGCTCATGCTTTGCTTTGGTGATGCCTGAAACGCTCAATAAAAGGAATGCACGATTTATTTCCTTCCTGCTGTGAAGAAATAGTATTCTGCAGTTGACTTTGTTCAATCGAAGTCTTATTCTATTGAACCAGATTTATATTATAATTTATTCGGAACTTATTATTAATTATTTACTAACATTTATCATTTCACGAATTAAATTATGGAGTAATTTGGACATACTGGCGTTTTTGGCTACTATAAACTCCCTAATCAAGATTGATGGCATTAGTTGCGATTGTTAAACATCTTCACCTAAAGTTAACGCTAGCGTGTAATATGGCTTGTACAAGCTAGCTATAGTTCTGAGAAGTGTGAAACTGACAGCTAAATATGCTATTTTATAGGGCTTTTTAAGGCACTATCGGATGTAAATTTTTCCCCTCTAATAAACATCTGAGAAAATTTGTATAAACTCCTACCCAATATTAATATACATTAGCATGCAGTTAACTTTGCTCGGTCACCCTATCACTGATGTTAAATTTATGCACCTGTTTGTGTGGTCATAATACCAAAATTAAATCTTGACCATGATATTGCACAGATGGCTCGTAGTTTTCTTCAAGATTATTCCGTCTTCTGAAGAGCTTGTACCTGCCTTTCGAAGAGTGGGATGGTCACCTTTGAATTGCCATCATTGATTTTACGACTTGAAGAGAATGTTGTAAGTGCACAAGATTTGTACCGGATAGACTTGACATCAAAGACATTCAGAGGCTCAATGGGTACAAGTAAATTCTGGAGGAGGATAAATTCAGGCCAGATGGCCATCTGTGGTACGTTAGTTTGCTAAACTTTCTGCTTGCTGCTTCTCGGTGCAGGAATAAAATTAATTTTCTCCTACGCGATGTCTTTACGCTAACTGAATAACTCGTTTGACTTCAGTGCTGATTCTTAGCGAATGAGGAACAAGGCTGCTCGATTTTCCCTTTCATCCACGCTGAAAGGAGATTCAGCTACAAAAAAATTTAAAACGCGACCACCTCATATTTTATGCCTGCAACACCTTTCAGTTTGGAGCATATGTAAATATTGCTGAGTTGCAAGAAATATGAGGTGGTGCGTCGAGCCTTCAGATGCATATCAGAGGTGCCGCATTTCATCAGAAAAAATTACTCATGAAATTGAACCTGTCAATTCTAATTCATTCAGTTTTTTTAAGTTGAAATTGATAGTCCAGTTAATTAACGAATGGGACGTGCAGCATAATAATGGCACATTTCCAATAAAATAAGTTCTTCAAGATCCGGGTTCTACAATTTACTAGCAGGTAAACATGGCGTTGCTAAGAATAGATATTAGACGTGCATTGAATCCCGTCGTCCCGAATCTTGGAATCTATTTTTCAGTTGATAACTCAATTAAAAACCAGCATATAAAGACAAACATTTTGCACTGAAATCTCATTTTACTACCGGTATTTACTAAAAATCGCTTTTAGATTGCGCATTTTGCATTTTTCCTCTCCCCGTTTTGTTACACCGCATCATTCTACCATAAAGAATAAAATATCAGGTTCAGGTTGTAGCTCTCCTATGCGCTTGTGAGTAAGTTATACGGTTTGGGACCTATCATCAACCACTGAATTACTACTGGGGCAGAGGCAACAAAAGACTGACGATTTAAGGTGTACATTGAGATTAAAATTGCAAATATACAGAAATGTGAAAGTTGTACTGATAATTAAGAAAAGAAACATCACGTAATTTCGAAGCATGAACAAATGAAATAAAAAAAATGATTGCAGGATTAATTTTTTCATGCCCAGAGACAAATATTCACTAAATGACACGGAAATCATTAGATTTACTCTCAAAAACATAAATAATTAAAAGACAAAATGTATAAAATGAAATTGGGGAAATTTTAGTTTTCTTTGCAACGGGAAATACTGAAGTAATATTATTTGGTTCTAAACACACGCGCAAGCAAAGTTCTATGAAAACATAATTGAAACCCTCCGAGAAAAACAAGACACAATTTCTCGAACCTTAGGCGATTTTCCTATCCCATTTAGAACGTACGTTGTGGAATCATCAACAAATTTCTTTATTTATTCTTTATTTATTCGTAATGGGAAATAATATTCAGTTCGTTAAGGAACTGAATTTAATCAGATTCTTGCATGGATGAAAAGGATCCCTAAGGTTTGTTGAACCTCAGGAAGTGTCAAATGTGCTCCTTAGTTTTTTCAATTAAGCTTTAGAGTTTGACTGAATTGGCTGTTGTGGACAGTGATTGTTCAGTTGATTGTAAAGTTCATTATTGCATGTGTGAGCCCTACCACTGATTTGTAAACAAAATGCAGCTTTCGTGTGGTAAAAGAATTTCTAATTCATTACTGTTCATCTCTATAGGTGAACGTAACATTACCACTAGTAATGTTATTGTTATGTTTATTGTAAATTGATATGGCACTGAAGGGTCAAGCGTCGTCGTCAAGCTCGAACACACAAAAGAAGAAGAAGAACTGATCATGCGTCGCACTTTGCATAGAAATGTACTATGTTATCAGAGCTACGACACGAAAGTGATTGGGTATTTGCAAGTCAAAGAGGAGACAACATATCACATGATGAATCTGACATGGCAAGTATCAACTCGAACGTTAAAGACATCTTCGATATCCATCCCGTAAATAATCTCATTAAATCATGTACGGCCGACTTTCCTCCTAATTGACCTTCCAAAGTTTGAGCATCAGATGCTGGGTTCCTAAGACCATCAAGTCATGGCTCATGCAAGGGCGTGTCAATAAGGAGCGAAGAAAACATTAAGAATAGCAGGTGAACTTAAGACTACCTGTCAGTAAGCACCAACTATCCACTGATAATCGGGCTGTAATTTTAGAAAGGGTTGGGCTCACCATTTGGTCAGACACTCCCCGATTTCCCTTCAAGTTGCAATTCAGGGATGTTCTTATCTTCCCCTGTACGACCCGATCTGTCTCTTGTTCGCGTGGCAATCGTCTGCATTCGTCAATGCACAGAGTGCCCTAAATCTGTGCTTTATCCTTTGTGCTGAGTGGATGTTGTTTTTCATGAGTTACAGTAAGTTTCTATTTGATATGCCTTTATCGGTTCAATTTTTAATAAAATTTATTCATAACGCTTACTTTTGAACACAGACAAATGAATGTCGAGTAGTGAGAAAAAATATTTTCAGGATCAACTCTAGGGCGCAATCCATAATGTTTGAAATGTATGTATAATGGGTGTATGCATTATTAAATACATTCTCCTTGTGCATGCCGAGAACAATAATTTTCTAGTGGCTAAAAACTCAGTCCCACTTCAATAGCTGCCATGCAACTTAGCGTTTGACTTATCGTTTAAAGTTTGTTTTGAATCGACGCACAGTGTTCTTTAGTATGTTGGCTGGACAAAAACAACATTATTGATGAAAAACCAGTCTAGACCAATATTATTGTAGTAAGTAAAATCTCTTGCTAGCCAAAAACAAATAGTTTTGCAATGGCTCTAAAACTGCATCCAACGCACGCCTTATTGAGGCACTGTAACTGATAGCCAAAATTGCATTTGGCCATGCAGCTCCGAGGCGTCCGCGTTATCGACAGCTCGTATACTGGCGCTGCACAGCTCTTAGAAAAAGCTGTCTTTTCCTCAAGTGCTTTGACATTTCAATTCAAAAGTAAAGGTCAGTTCCTGCTTTTCTCATCTAAGGCGTAATTTTAGAAAACAAATTAATTCGCTATCGCGTGGTTTAAGCTTACGTTGAAGTTCGTTTGTTTGTCGACTTTTTCGAACACCAGGTTTTCGTAGCATGCATGTTGTTTTGCTCCACGCAACTTAGAAAAAAAAAATTACAGCGAGACAACCAACATTTATTGTATTTTTTACATGGTTACTGTTTTATTATGGAGTGAAATTTCAATTTCGGAAGCTGGGTCATAGGCATTTCTCAGACATTCATTCATATTGTATCAATGAACATTTTCCTTTGCAGGCCTTTTACTTAAATAATATATGGACAAGTTTTATTCAAGCTAAATATACTTCTTGGCATTTTCTCGAAGATTGTAAGCGATATCTTAGGGTGTCATATTGGGATTATTCTACTCAAGGTGAATCTTGCGTCAGTTTGAATTCGTGTGCGCTGCTCCCAATACTTTGGGCAGTAAATAGCTGCACTTATACTGAATGCACTTCACGTGTGTTGCAGGGGCCAGTTCGCGACAGTGTACCACTGTCGGCACCGCGTCACGGGGGAGGAGTTCGCCGTGAAGTTCTCCAGCAGGCGACGCTTGGGCGCCGATGCCACGCCTGACATCATCCATGAGATCGCAGTGAACGCCATCCTGGCGAGCTGCTCGCACAACGTCAAGCTGCACGACGTCTTCACCACAGACACCGCCTTCGTGCTCATCATGGAATTGTAAGTACCTGGGTGTTGGTGAAGGCCACGTTGTTGATGTAAGTACTTTATGGCATCACAGTGGAAGTTATTAGATGAAAGCAAGAGAAGTGGAGTGTAGTGATCCCTGTATTGCATCAGCTGACAGAAAAGACTCGATTGACTGCATGGTGCCAGTTGACAGTAGAGGACCTGTTGACTGCATCGTACCAGTTGCCAGTAGAGGGCCTGTTGACTGCATGGCGCCAGTTGACTGATTGCATTGTACCATTTGACAGTAGAGGGCCTGCTGGTTGCATTGTGCCAGTTGACAGTAGAGGGCCTGTTGATTGCATTGTGCCAGTTGACAGTAGAGGGCCTGTTGATTGCATTGTGCCAGTTGACAGTAGAGGGCCTGTTGACTGCAGGTGTTGAGCCCAGCTGTGAGTGTCGCCATATGAGGCTGCACATGCTGGAGTGGAGGAGCAGGAGGTGTAGGGAGATAAATACAGAGGGGTTATAGGGCGTAAATACCTTATGGCGTGGCCAGTAGAAGGAATAGGGGGAGAGGCTCACATCTGGTGCCTGGATGCCAGCCAACGTAGGGCGGCGGCCCCGGGTATCCATGATACGCACACCTGACAAGCACCACACGTGGGATTCATGCTAACTCGGCGCTGGAGTCTGGGAGTTGCTGACATTATTCACCGATAGAAATCTTTGTCTGAGTACCATTATTCACCGGTAGGAAACCTTTGTCTGATGATTCAACTATACCAGCAGGCTGCGAGGGTGAACCTTATACCGACTAGAAAACATTGAATTTCCAGACGTATTTCTGTATCCGCAAACGACTGCTCTACATGCTGGACGCGGTGTTGCGGAGTGCAATCCTAGAGGCTATTGCTCCCGGACGCGTTTACTCACTCTATACAAGGTTGGGGATAACTTTGGGAGGGATTATTATCAAAATCTGATTGATATACTACTAATAGTGGTTTTTCCTAGAGGAGACGAATACCTTAGTCTGGACAAAAATGTTGCTTTTTGTTCAGGTACGGTACTCATTGAAAAAATTAATTGATATTGTTTAAAAATACGTTTTTGTACAGTCAATAACTTGTGAATATGCGGTTTAAGAATAATATTGATACTTTCATCGGGTTACTTACATTTTCAAAGTTTATTATTCTAATCGCGTCATAGTTTTCTAGTTCTATATAAATTGTTCATGCAGTGGATCATTTAGCTCTGGGTTCTTAGTATGTCTGTGCCCGCTGACTTACATCATCCGTACGTGCTTCCTGTGGCTAACGTACAGAAAAGTCGGTATCATGCCTGAATTAGAAATCACTTCCAATTTTCCCTTTCCCTTGTTCTAACGGATAAACGTCAAATCAACGAATGTCCGCCACAGTATCACTATCGCCTCGTTCATAATTCGTTAAAACGAAGCCAGATCAATGTCACTGCTCTACATAAGCAAATATGTTGGGCCGAATATCCAGTGTCGTGGATGGAGACTCGTGGAAATTTTTGAAGGCAAGAAGTGGCATGACATGCGAGCCAAAGGAGGAATGGCAGATCGCAAGAAGCCATCGTGGCGTCGCGACGCTCATTAGTTGCATTCAAACATTCCGAGCAGCGTTGTTTTTTGGAGGTGACACCTGGCACTTGAAAGGCGATAGTTAGGGAGCCATCTTGACATGTCAGGGACTTTGCACGTCTTGTGTCCTTTACTTCATAGGCAAGTGAAGAAGGTTGACGGCAGTGTACTGCTTTCCATGTGCATTGGGCACGTGATGAAGGTTGGCGTCAATGTTCTTCTTGGCACGGACATGAAGACATAGCGATCGCAACCAATGCATTCTTGGTGACAGTCTATGGGCCATACTGCCTTATAGTATTCATGTCATTGACGGCCTTATTGACTGCACTCGTGACGGCAGTATACTGGCCTCGCTGCTTCAGTCATATAATGGCAATTAAATTGAACAATAGTCGCTCTAAACCTTCCATCGCCGTGGTCACATGTTTCTCAGGTAACCAGTTTGCTTATATAGAGAAGATATTGATGTATTTTATATACTATTTCATGTTCTTAATGGAGAATGTTTGTTGAGACGGCCCGAGGTTTCTTTTTAACTGCTTTTGAATAGGAAATAGAAATATATTTGGTAAAATTCAAGATGTGAATCCGAATTTATTAAATTGAGTTTCAAGTAATCACTTGGAAAAGATAATGAAAAAACGATACCATAGTGTGAAAGTTTGCATAATTGAACTTGTGACACATCTTGTCTGTGCACCACATTTTTTCGCAGGCCGCGGGTTAACTACCTTGCTCAGATAAGTGGAATTGCGAATAAAATTACGTGCAACTGCATTGAAAACACCAAACACGTTAGTTGAATTGGTTTAGCTCTTACTGTGGTATCATCTCATTTTAATTGAAGAGTTTGTGCTAAAATTTATAAGTATAAATTATGAAGGCATTCGCTGGGCAGCCCCGTCAACAGCTTCCTCCCTTCGCCTACAAAATGAACATGACCATTGGCACACGAAAGAGCTCACGTTTATATAATTAAATAGGTTTTACTTTTCAGTATTGGAGGATGTATAAATAACATTAAATGCTTCATAATACTATTAAATGATTACAATGATAATGAATTATAAATTGGCAAAGCTCCTCAGAGTGAGTTTGCAAGAATTTATGATAACTATAGGAAAGTTTATTTATCTCTAATTTTTAGTAACCAAAAGATCTAAGTTATAAACGTGGGTTTTTGAGCTGCCGCTGTTTATAAATCAGCTGAACTGGAACTATTCATGCGTACCATATGGGCAGTATCAGTGATAAATTATAATAACACCCTTACTAGCAAAATCCTAATCTAGTAAATCACCATCAATAATTCACAAATAAACCAGCGTCGGTCTCACAACCTCGAATCTTACGAAGCCTCCTGGTAAAGATGATGCCGAAATTTAGTAACCATGATCACTGCCATTTAAATATGTGGTCTGATCCCATAAGTTGTTTTCGCTCAATTAATACCCATAACTAATTCACAGGACTAATATGGCATGCGATGAGTAGCAGTCTGCTTCTGTTCTCGAGAGTTGGATGGAGAACGTCTGTGGCTTTACAATGTAGAGGGCAGCGCCCCTATGCCAGAGAATGCGGTGCTAGTCCAATGAAGAAATTAGAATTTAAATTGATCTCTTGAACCTCCCATTGAAATTGAGATACTTATCTTAATATAATAAGTTACTAATTAACTATGACAGTCATCTGTGGTTAGGATCATTGAAAACTAAAGCGAGTAATTGGCTTTGACCTGGAGCACAGTTCTTGCGAGCTGCGATAGCCATCAGCAAACGAGCTTCTGTAGATTCAGTCTTGTACTGTCTTTAAATAACCTATCATTAGTCTACTATTTTATTTAGTTAGGCTTCACTTGTGAACTTGTCTTTCTTCTTCGTACGCTTACCTTACGACTAAAGCCATAGAGACTGAGAGATGTTCTTGTCAAAATAAAGAACAATTTGGAAGATGCTCTTGCATCAAGCCGCGCGAGATCACGCTTCGTATCGGCGTAGCTTGCAATTTGCGCTTATATTATTTATATTCAAATCCATGCATATGATAAATAGGTAGAGATCTGAGGTGAGAGAATGTTTATTTATATTAATATATTATAATTGGGCGATCGCCATTTTAAAAATAGACCACGTTTGTCGATTATTTGAGTTAAAAGCTAATTGCTGTGACCACTTGCACATAGTTTAGTTTCTTTAGCTCCTGCGCACGGCAATGAGACTGGAATTTGCAGCTTTTATTAAGCTCACACATGTCCAGTGACAGGGTGAGTAATATAGGAATAAGATTATACGTTTTGAAATGTAAAAAATGCATTAGGAATGCTAATTTACCTTTTTACTCAGATTTTTCTTTTCGATCGACTATAAGCTTTTTCAATCATTTTTCGCCCACAAACAAAAAAGTATAAAATGTGTTGAGCATTAGCATCAAGCATTTAGATGAGTTCAGTCCGCGAGAATAGGATGCTCGCTCTAGGAATATTCCTACGAATTAAATTGGCTGCTGCAGGCCTGTAAATGCGACTCCACAAGAGCCAAAGCTAATTTTGAAACTTCCACTGAATTCAAAAGATATACTTATATCTATCTATATTCTGTTAAGATCTCTTGAGAAGAAATAATATGCGTTTAAAATTTACTCTTCAAAGACAACACTTCTAAACAGGCAAGTGTCTCCGATGTTACAAATGAACAATGAATTTATAATTTTATTTTCATGTATAAAAAAATTAATTTTTGACTTTTTTTAACATATATTTTTTTCAACATTATTTATTTTGTCAATTGAGTCATGCATTGTCTCCGACTTTCGCAAGTGTGCAAAATTTCAGATCGATTGGACCGGTAGAAATGTTTTAAATATTGATTATAAGACTTGTAGCAAAGAAACAAAGTTCGAACAAGAAGTATAAAGTTAAAGAGAAGTGTTGTAAAAATATTGTAAAATCTCTTACATTATCGACACGCAATTGCGTGTCGATAATGTAATAAGTCGTGATTCCATTTTAATTACCGTTTCCCTCAATCGATTAAATTACTCCCTATTTATATGATTACTCCCCATTTATTATTAATTACTCCCCATTTATATGATAAAAGTCAAGTATTTCGAGTACTATAGGCATGTTATTCTCTGATTTTTTAAGGATTGTTAATTAACAGCTGATGAAGGGAAATAGCTGTCTAGTGTGCTCATCTCTGGAGGCCATTCTATTGAGTAATTTCCTTGCGCTCTATAAGTCCTGTCTTCAATGCAACAATGTGGAGCATGGATAATATATCTGTCCATAGAATAAAACGCTGAAAAATTCAATTAATATGGAGTGATGCCAATTGAAGCATACATTTTACCTGTCGTTTATATTAATTCATGCTAATTCAGTTTGACTCTTGTCCAACCATATTATAGCGGAGGTTATAAAAATGCTCGCGGAAGCTCGAGCTGAATACCTAATGATTACACATATTTAAGTCTCAGATTTATGCATCCAAAGATGCTGCGTTACTCTGGCTAATGTATCCCTAAAACGGTAACTTCAATACATGTATAATTTATTTCAAATAGAAGGTAATTGATTAAATTGATTTACAATTACAAATAATTTTGTACCGATAATGAATTTAATGACTTCTACTCTGTGATAATTAGCTCAGTTTGACGGTAATATACTTTAAATTAGTGAACAAAACTGCACATAATAAAGACGGGCTGGCGCCAGCCTGCGTGCATACGTCGCGGTCTCGAGTCCTGCGACGATCCAGAGCGCCTTACAAGGCTCGCTGCCTTGCAGTAATGTTAATGAGACGCACCGCCGCGGTCCCCGAGCCGGACTCAAAAATAATTTTGTTCGTCATTTTTGGGGTGCACTTAAATTTTAATTATGGCGTTAAAAGGACGTAGACAGATGCGCTTTGAAACATTATCAGACCGTAGGTGGATGATTGAGTCAAGCGCATATCTCATCATTTTTAACGTCAAACGTCATCATCAATCACTTGGTCGTGAATTTATTCATTTATGGCTACGCTGATGGAATATTAGGTGGATTGGCAATCAGCATACGAGTTAATATCGCTTATAATAATATAGTTATGAGTTGATATCGCTTATAATAATATAGTTTTATGTAAAATCCGGATATTTGCACTTTTTATTGAAACTTTAAATCAAGACTTTTATCTGAAGCCATTTCTGCTGAGCACTTAATCGATAATATGTTTTATAACTTTGTTTTGCTCGTGTCTGAACTAATTTGGTTTGCTCTGGACCCACGCCATTTGCCTGTGAGATTACGTTTATCAGAATATGATCGAGTTTACAAGAATATCATGACGCACAATGAGTGAGTTTACAATAATCTCTTGTCATACAATGAATGAGCTTATAAGAATATGTCGTGCAATGAGTGAGTTTACAATAAATTCTTGTGACTTGTCATACAATGAATGAGCTTATAAGAATATGTCGTGCAATGAGTGAGTTTACAATAAACTCTTGTGACTTGTCATACAATGAATGAGCTTATAAGAATATGTCGTGCAATGAGTGAGTTTATAATAAACTCTTGTCATACAATGAATGAGCTTATAAGAATATCATGTCGTGCAATGAGTGAGTTTATAATAATCTCTTACCGTGCAGTAATCGAGTTTATAATTATCTCTTGCCGAACAATGAGTGAGTTTATAATAATCTCTTGCCGTACATTGACTGCATTTATAAGAATGTCTTTCAGAACCATGAGTGATGTTCACGTCACTGAAGGCATGCACGTCCGAAAAAACGACCCTGCATTCACGGGAAGATTTATTGCCTCGGACGCCAATATATTGAACTAATTATGCCCAAGCAAGCTAAAAATAACTGTCAAACCAGACGCAAATAATTGATCTGTACTGTAGCGAAGGTTAACTGAAGGTAAGCCAGTCAACGTTATTTATGAATTGGCTAAAGCGAACTTACGAGTGAACGATAGGGAGTCGGCATTGCGATCGATTCACTCCATAATAGGCTAATTAGAACGAGCATTTTTTAGCCCGCGATCGCGTTCTTGAAAGGCCATGCGGTTGGTGCACTCCGTATCGCAGCCGTCCGCTGATTACAGTTCAGCTTCCAAATGAAGCCAAATTTAAATCACAACAAAAATGTATCTGCTATTGAACTTCTGCTTGAATGCGTACATTAATTTTATGTTATTGAAAGAGTAATTACTAAATTTTTCTGGAGAAATTCGAATTTTTGTCCGAATCTGATTCCTTGTTGCCGAGCTCTGCTCTTGCATTGCCCGCGCAATATATAAGAGCTCAGGTCTGGCATTGCATATTCCTGCAACAGGGTTTTATCGCTTTGACTAAACTTTTGAAACTGAAACCTTTCTATACGCTTCTTTCAACACTATACACTTGTTTCAACACTATACACTTCTTTCTTTTTATGTTTCTTCGAAATATTGGGAGGTTGGTGCGTTGCTTAGAACTCTGATCATCAGTGGCCGATGACTCGACTCTTCCATGTCTCCTGAAGAACCTCATTGAATAGAATGAAATACGCGTGTCACTTTTCAAAAGTTCTGATGCAGCTTAAGAGCAGTAATGGGTGGGATAACAAGCGTGTAATGCTACACGGCACGCCTCTTATTGATGAGCTGACAGTGCAGAAGCGAGTAGGGCTAGCACCAGATACGAGGCCGCTCGAATACCTTACACTGACGGTCGCGTAAGATATCATCATCCGACATTTTTCATTTGCCCTCCTCTTTAGAATACTCGATGGTATTTGTGGGCTTCTGGGCCATTTGTGAGAATTGCGGGGCTTTAGTTTACATTTACAGCTGTAGAACTCTCAGCTCAACTTGCCGAATAATACTATTTTTTTATTATTGGACTCTGGAGATATATTTTTTGCTTGTGACTTGCTAGACTTTCGTCAAGGCTGGGTTATATTAAACTGTTTTGAAAAGTTTCTATAGGGTTACAATCCGTGCAACCTCCTGCGAGGAGTAAAGAAAAATGGCTTTCTGCGGTTTTTAACCAGCTGATTTCGAATTAAAAGGTATATTGGCCCGTGGTCTTCTGACGATAATACTAGTTACCATCACTTAGGGTACGAATAGCTTTGACTACCTAATTTATCCGTTGACAAATTACAAATTGAATAATAGCATCTTTTTGAATTGCTTAAACTGATGAGATAAAGTTTGTAGATAGAGTAGTTTGATAGAGTAGATATAGTTTGTAGATAATGAGTTCAGAATAGTTTGTGTTATTATAAACAATTTTACCGTTTTTCTAACCGAGTCATCTTTTCCATGACAGTACATTTTTGATGCTAACTTTTCGAAATTTTAATTTCAGCGCCCCTGGCGGTGATCTCCAAACGCTGCTAGACGAAAATTTGGTCCCTTACGAACGCGACGTTATCAACTTCTTGCGCCAGCTGCTGGAAGGCTTGGTGTTTATCCACGACAGGAGCCTCGTGCATCTCGACATCAAGGTCCATCCGCAGCTTCTTCCAGATGAACTAAATTTGCCAAGTTGTTTCGTTTTTAAAGTTGTATTAGAATATTAATTGTCGATAGATATTTCATGTCAGAAGCTTGATTTCAGTTCGAAATAATCAAAATTCGTGTATTACATGTAGGATTCCAATAAAAGCGATGATTTCCACACGTAACGACTCTTCAGCAAAGACTTGATAGACATTATCTTCTACCATTCTCACTAACTGCTTAACTTATGTTTAACTGCACTAGCGTGGATAATTGATCGATCAACATATTATCTGTCAATTTGGGAGCAATATATAACAAAGCTGAACGTCTTCTGATTGATATTTTAAATGCAGCCCCAGAACCTGGTTTTGATGGGGGAGTTCCCGGACTGCGCCGTCAAGCTCTGCGACTTCGAAATATCGAGGCACATCACGCCCGGCTACGAAGTGCGCGAGATCCTCGGCACGCCGGACTACGTTGGTCAGATCTAATATATGAATTATAACTTCACCTTGACTATGTTGTTAACATTATTTGCATATTTTACTTAGGAGGATACATGTTAACAGTTTTTTCGTTGTCGCGCCAGTTATACGTTATCATGAGAATAATTAGAGTAATTGTTTCTGGTCTCGGAACTCGCGTTCATTGCCATGCAATTACTACCATTATATAGTTCTTGTCTTTTCTAGACAAATCAACTATCAAGAATCAGAAGAAATATGCGTCATGTTAATGGTTATTGAAATTATAAACTCAGGATTTGATATTTTTCAGCCCCAGAGATCCTGCATTACGAACCCATCACCACAAGAACTGACATGTGGTGAGTACAACGATGCTCAACGTGAACGTTATGTGCTCAGGCGGATGTAACTGGGAAGTGCAAACTTTGCTTTTCGCGATTTTAAGACTTGGTCTAGCTCAAGGTAGTGAGGAAGACCGTACTTAATAAAATTGATGATTGTTTTAACATCTACAGAATTGTGGTCAGGGTCGCTGGAGATTAAAACTATATTTTTGTTTAGTATAGACAAATTCAGGTCTAAATTACGGTTGAAATACCCAATGTTTCATTAAAACAATGATAAAAATCTCTATCTATTGTTCAACAATATTTAAATAGTATGTATTATGTTCAGGTCCCTGGGTGTATTGACGTACGTCCTCCTGACGGGTTTCCTACCCTTCGGTGGGGACAGCGACCAGGAAACCTTCATGCAGATCTCCAGGGGAGAGCTCGACTTCCCCAACGAGCTTTTCGAAGATATCACGCCCGAAGCCATCGACTTTATGAAGAAGTTACTCGTTCGACAACCTGAGTGAGTTCTTGAAATTCAATCGATTTAAAATTTTACATGTGATTGAAAAACATTCTAAGATTGTGAACCAGTCATTCAATTCACACAGGATGAATAAGTAAGTGCTGTAAAATTCTTATCACGTAATTTCCTTTAAATAATGAATAATTATCTTGCTCAGGAGGAGGATGAGCGCACGAGAGTGCCTTAAACACCCATGGATGCAGAGGCCGATGACCCGACCAACGCCCCCGTCTACTCTTGATCTGCCTGCCCCAGTGACGCCCAGTCCGCCCTCCCACACTCCCTATGTCAGTAGAGCCGAGTCATCTCCCTCAGTGATTACTACGACCGTCACTTCCGATATCAAGGGCGACGGAAACGAGACGAGCGACTTGGAATCTTTAGATGACAAAACTCCTACCACTCCTCTGTCTAGCCGTCCTCCACTGCACCCTCGTTCTTCCCTCAAATCTTTGAGTGTCACAAGCGACATCCTGCCGGTTGGCTCCACATCACACGCAGTGACGCCCTTGTCGGGAATAACTCCCTTCCTCAATAAGGAATCAAGAATGGGATCGAGGCAGAATTTGAACAGACTCAGGACCATGTCCAAGTCACGTGAAGTGCTTTCTGAAAGAATTCAAATGTCAAATCTTAAGAAAACGCTGTCGAAATCACGCGAGCGCCTATACGACGCCAAGCTCGGGATGTCAACTTCCAGAGAAGACTTAATGACTTGCAAGAGCCTCTCGCAGTCAGTGGAGGCGTTGACAGCTCTCTCTCAACTTCACCAAAACGGAGCCCTGTACAAGAGCTGCAATAACATTTTTATCCCCAAGATCCAACACGTTAACAAAGAAGCCTGCATGTCAGATCGCATGTACAAAAGCATGGCCTGTATAGATCAGATCCCTGGTAACGATTTGTCAAAGACTATGGGCTACTTCGAGTCCCGTTTAACTGGAGACGATGACAACACTGACGTGATCACACGGCGTAACACCAGCCTTAACATCGTCATCAGTGACACTCCTGAGTCAAATTCCCGACTCCTGGGAAACGATGAAACTAGACTTGGAGGTTTCAGAGTCAATCCTTGCAGGGGCGGCCGCAGCGCTGAAGGTAATGATAGGATCTTCCCACGACATTCACACAAGCAGTCCGAACCTCAAGCAACACAGAAGATTAATAAGATGAGTAGAGCCGACAAAATGAAAAAAGATGCTCAAAGGAGGAGAAAAGAACGCGAACAGAGAGAGAAAGAGAGAAGCCGGAAATCTAGTCTGGTTGAGATGAGAACTTACGATAAGACCGCCGCAAACGAAGGATCCACATCACCAACCATCAGAAGAGGCAGCGTGTGCCACGTGGAGCTGAGACTACAGGAGCGACACGAGAGACTATTGGAAAGACAGGAGCGCGAAGGTCGGAAGATGAGCTCCACTGGAAGCCTGAGACTCAGTTCCATTGACAGTGACAAATCCCCTACTCCTGACGCTTCGAAGTCTATGAGCAGGCGTAAGTCAACATCGCAGACCGCCAAAAACGAGCGATCTAGTAAAGTTGAGTCGCCGAAGAGCAGCGATATTTCAGAGGCCTCCTCAACTGAAAGTGTAAGCGGGTCTTTAGAGAATATTCAACCGCGAGGAGTGGAAAGGAGAAGAAAATCTAAGCAGTTGGACAACCGAAGAGCATCAGCAACGGTCAAGAACCAAAAGAGTAACGATGAAAATGGTAACGTGATCCAGGTGGAGTCATCGAGTCTAGCAGCAGAAATTTCAATGCAAAAGTCGTGTCGAGACCTTGACGAAGCTTACATTTCTCTTGAAGAAGGCAGTAGAGAGAACGTTCCTGGAGAAGAAGAAGAAGCAAAGTCCGACGAAGACACTGATTCTGTGGAGTCAGATAAAACATGCACTGGAAGCATAGTTGAAGGTCCCATAACACCTATAAAGGCTGCTGACGAGATAAGAATAACTACTGAAGGTCCAACGGACAAACAACCATCTCCGGCGATTGAGGATACCGAACATACGATCACTCACGAGACGCAAAAATCCTGTGGATCATTCTTGGAGGTTCCTGTTCTTGGAGACATCCAAGAGGAATCTACTTCCGTGAAATACTCAAGGTCAACTTCCACCACAAGTGATCTAGGAGGCTCCATATGTGAAGATAATGAAGAAAATTCTGATCAAGCTCTCAGCGAAATTGAACAGAAAATTATGGAGAATAAATCTCGAGCTCGATCTCTTAGCATGCAGCCGCGACAAACGCTGACCGTCATCCCTAGGGTTCGCAATAGGTCCAACTCGGTGCACCAGCCAACAATCGTTGACAGAGCCCGGCCATGGGGAGAAATTTGTAGCGGATCCGTTGCGAAAGCGCTGAAAAATTTAACGATGCGAGAAGAAGAAGAAGAGGATGAAGATGCAACTAGAGTAAGCCAAGATTTTACGAAGCGAAGGCAATCGTCACCACCGCGCTTCTTCATGGCAGGTGAACTGCAACCACAAACCGCGGTGTCGCCACAGTGCAAGCAGTAACTGAAATGTAGTGGCACAGAAAGAATTTATTCAATATGTGCCCCAGATTTTCTAGTCAAAATTACTATACCAAGAAAACCCCATCTACGAATAAAAAAAGAACAAAGCTTTTTCGTTCTAGTCCAAGACTGCGTTTGTATTTGCTGCAGAGGCTGTTTAGATGTCAACTTGAGCTAATCATTATTCACGTTCATGCCCACCACTGTCTTTCAGTTCACTGCTTCCACTGCATGCCGCGTCATGCCCCATCGTTACTTTCGTCAACAATTCTCGAAATTTAGTGTAGACCCGAGACCTCAATATCCTTGGGTACGAGGCAGCTCGAAGTATTTTTCTCATTACAAGGTTGAAGCTAGAGTTATGACTTCAGGTGATCAGCTATTATACTATAATCTTAGTGTTGACCGTCCATTTTCTACTGGCCGCGAATTTTATATCGTCTATAACTTGATTATTGAGTTTCTTTAGAGTTCTTCATTTAAGTTAACATTCATAAATCTAACTCTCATTCTGTGAAAAAATTAAAAATCTAAATAAAGTCGTCCACGAACGAGTAAGTTCGACTATTATTTCGCATAAACCTTTAATTAATTCAATTGTGCTTGAAATTCTACTTTGAAAATACGCCTAAAACTCTGCAAGCATCGCGAATACGTTTCACATGTACTGAGAATGACAAAGCCACTGCAACCTCAATATGTATTTCTAAAAAATTATTTCAAGTTGAAAGTTTTTTTGGAACAATTCTTATTTTTGAAGTGCTTACAATTCAAATTAGCCTCAACGTAATGACAAACATTTCATTTCAATTCTTGTAACTATCAATTGTTTATTAAATTTGATGACTTATCTTCAAGTATTATCGCGTAACGGCAGGTATTTCGTGAACGCACATTAATAAAATGAAAGTGTGAAGCTAAAAAAAAAAAAAAAAAAACTGACCAACACCCTAAAGTAAATATGATATAGTGATGATTAAACACAAAAAAGGCACGACGAATTAAGTGGAATAAATCTTCCCTGATACTTTCTCCGACAGCAGCCACATTGAAATCTGCCATATTCGGAAGATGAGCTTGTTAAATCCTCAAATCAACTAGTGAAACCAGTCTCCCAAGATCAAAATTCAAATCCTGGAACTAATCTCTTCTTCGAGCTTCTCAGGGGTGAAGACGCCGTACTCGGTGATGATCCCTGTGATGAGGCGTGCTGGGGTGACGTCAAACGCGGGGTTCCAGCACGCAATTCCTGGAGTGAAAATCTCAGCTCAGACTACTTTCAACTCCAGTGCACAAGTTTAAAACGTTTTAACCATCGACGAATAAGCTGAAGTTAAATTGAATGACATAAAACGATTATGCAAGCAATTAAATTTAACAAGCGAGAGCAAAATGGTGGATATTTTGCGAATGATTGTGAGAAGCGGAAATAGATAATTGAGCAAAAGAGATTGATGTTGTAATTGTTCAAAATGAGGAAAGCGCAAGAGATAGAGGACAGTTACGTGGAGGCTAGAGATAGATGAAGCAAGCGTGGTACAAAGCAAGCAACATGCTGGATGTATGCTAACCAGGGGCGGCGACGGGCACTCCTGCAACAGAAGTCATCTCTAGCGCAGGTCTGTGCTCTATGGGGATGCCAGCACCAGACGACAGCTTCAGGTTGATGGAAGACGTTGGTGCACACACGAAGAACTTCACGTGATGAGCAGCGCACAACACAGCCAGCTGTGAAATACACAAGATGAAAGATATTATAGAATACCATAGAAAAAAAAAACAATTATGACCATTCAGAAGATGCAACGAAAAAAATTATACGAGATTTCAATGGCGGTGTGACATTCGAGAGATCAAAATTAAAAAGGTTATAAATAAAAATAAAATTAAAAAAATATAACTGCTTCAAAATTCGCTCAACATTTATGTCATGACTACTCACTGCCATCTTTCTTCATACCTACGTGAACCAGCAGGTAGGCATCTTATTTCTCAAAACTTGCTGCAAACTATAGATGAAATGACGGGTTGTTATCATTTGAAAGACTTATAGCAAAAAGCTAAGATATATTTCATGGACACGTTGACCCCGGGTGACGGGGATGAGAGGAAGTGACCTGGTAAGTGCCGATCTTGTTGGCGGTGTCTCCGTTTGCCGCCACGCAGTCCGCGCCGACGACCGCCGCGTCCACTTGAGACGAGGACAGAAGCGCTCCCACAGCACCATCGCATATCTGTATAATTCTTCCTATTAGCAAATCTGAGAAATTCCTTTCAATAACATGGCACAAATAAAACCAATAACTAATATCAAATTTTTACAATCATGATATTAAAAAAGTAAAGCTTGCAACCAGGAATAACATCCAACATGTATAATTATGTTTCAATTTAAGCCCTTCTAAACTTAAGATCATACTTTATACGTTTATACTTTTATACGTACATACTTTCTATCACCCAACACAACAGAATTTTTCGACATAAGATTTTTTACAGCTTCAACATCATAATCCATATAAATGAACTCGCAACTCGCTATATAGTGGTACAACATCATTAGAAAACTACCTTAATATCTTACCACAACAGGAGTACTCACTAGGGTTGCATTGGGCCAGCCCTCAACAACGGCCTCATAAGCAGAGAGGCGAGACCCTTGCATATACGGCCGCGTCTCCAGCATGTATAATCCTTCTGAAAGTGGCGCGTTTTATTTAGTTTGTTTCTTTTACGTACGGAAGTTTATTGACTAGCGTAAAATTTTTGTTAGTTTAGCCTGTGAATCTTCACGAGCAGGATGAATATTTGTAAGGGATACTAAGACATTCAAACGCAAATGCAAGATAGTAATCAAAGATAATGGAAGACTTGTTTACCATTGAAACATTGAGCTTATAAGATTTATTTCTCCTAGCAATTAAAAGTTTTTTTTTTAAATTTGACATATGTACATCTCTTGATTATTTCTAGGGATGCAGGTATGTCAAGACATTGTGAAAAAAAAAAAAAATGCATCAAACCTATCTTAGTGGTGTGGCATTTCATTAAGATTAAAGCCAATTCTCGAACTATCTGGAAAACATTAATTTCAGTCAAAGAGTGTCTACATAAACTAAATAGCTAGATAAATTACACATTTTTAGAGTGCATTTCCTGTAAAAACATCAGGATGAAAAATGTTAAGTGTTTCTACTATCATTGTTTAATCCCTATACATAAATTACAAGGTGAATCAATTCATTTCAAACAATTATTGTAATATTAAATTTCAACTATGTATAAAGTATTTGTGTTAAGGTACTTATGTCTTTTTGAATAAATTTTGTATCCATTTTGTATAAATTTTGGTGACCCAGTGTTAAAAGTTCAGAGTACCAAGATTGGGGCAGTGAGATGTAGATTCAATCCCAGCTCTGAGCACCAGTTTCTGGTCAGAATAGGCAAGGAGGCCGGGCAGTTAAGTTAAACTTTTTAATTTCATTAGTTAGGATCCTAGACTAAATATTATTTAATCAGCAGTCATCATAGTGTAATGAGGTTAAGGGTACCTAATTGATAAAGATCAAGAATGGGCAGTAAGAATAAGATGGGATTTTAGGAAAACTTGCATACACATTAAAGATATTACATGCACAGATATTTTTCCTGAAAAAAATAAATGTAATCCTGATGTAGGTTAAAGAAAAAAACATTTAGATATGCAAATCCACAAAACAGGTAATTTAAAAAAAACAGGTGCCAAGAAAGTTACACATCAATTCTCATTGAAATATAGTTAGAAATTTACTGAGTTTCTTGATGGCATGAAGGCTACGAACAACACCAAGTGCAGTGCCATAGCCAGCTGTGGCTAGCGACCCCGTGTTACAGATGGTGATGAGTGAGAAGCCATCCTCACCATCTAAGAAATATGGAAATACATTTCTGAGATAACATAAATTATGACACAACAATGCAGCACAGCAGCAGAAGGTGAGCAAAACTCATTCAGGCATCTTACAAATGGCACGTCATTCCAAAGTATCTTAGAACAAACAATAATTAATCAAAATGAGGTTGAAAAATGATAATTCATACAAAAATAAGAATACGTCACACAACTACTAAATGCTAAACAAGTAAGAAGCCTTTCCTTTCTTGTTAACAGCTACCTTTCTTGCTCAGTTGCAAGATCTTTTGCATGCCCCAGTCACCCAAGGTCTTGTTTGTTGCCAAATCCATTTTTAGGAGATTCTCACACCACGCCAATATACTGAAAAAATTATGATACTACCAGCAATAGTGTTAACTGATAGGAAATCTTGTAAATGAATAAAACCAGATCAAGGAGAAGCCATTTAAACAGATAACAAAAGGACAAAAAGCAGCAACAAACATTTTCACCCAAAATAAAAATTATATTTTAATGAAAAGTTGCTGTAACACATTTAAAATCAATAATCTAGATCAAGAAACACACCTATTCATCATTTCAGTAACAGACTGAGAGGTTGTCAACAAAGAGCAAGAGTACTCAGTAAGTCTGAGCGCCTCTGCCTTCATGTTAACAGCTGTTGGCCGAGCAGTGATGAGATGAGCAAGGCTGTCACACACAAATGTGTGGAGACTCGTGCAGTCATTGAAGATGCTCGATTCTTTTGCAAGTTCAGCAGCAATGCTCAAACATCCAACAATGGCTATGGCAGGTGCTCCTCTTACCTGCACAGAAAAACTTTGTTATGGCAGTGAGTCACTGCCTAATTTGCCAAATAGAGAAAAACAATAAGAAAATTGTCAATAAGAAATACTCTATGGTTGTCAATGAAACCTTTATTAAAAAACTTTTTCCAAACTACACCAATGTTTGACATATATGTATACACCATAAAATGGGGGTAACTTAGACCGGTGGGGTAACTTAGACCACTTTTTGTTTTTTTAACAAATACCCCCACAACTCAAAAACTATTTGACATAGAAAAATTTTGTCAATGGGCATTAAAGGCTTAATACTGAGGCTACATAACACAATAGGAAGATTTGAAAAGTTTGCATATCTAATAGGTTAAAAAATTAAAAATGTGACCCACAAAAAAAAGCTATTATTTAAAGCCTGTCATAGTACCCCCTCCAATTTTTTTATTTTTTGCTTAAATAACTCCAGGTTTTGATGCATTGTAGTAGAACTCTTCTAGTTACATATGCAAATGACAAATTTTAGGAAAGTGTCATAGTTTGCAAATGGGGGCACCGCCCCCAAATGGGGTAACTTAGACCACCTATTGTCAGCCCTGATGGGGTAACATAGACCGGCTCGGAAGTTAATATAAAATTACCATATATAACATATTTTATGTTTGACAGCCTATTTATGTTTTTTCTCTATGTTTCAGACTCTACAGAGTCTTATATATGGTAATTTTAACTTAATTTCCAAGCCAGTCAATATTACCCCATCAGGGCTGCCATTAGGTAGTCACATTTTCCTCATTATGGGGTGGCGCCCCCCATTTGCAAACTATGTCACTTTCCTCAAGTGTGTCATTTGCATATGTAACTAGAAGAGTTCTACTACAATGCACCAAAACCTGGAGTTATTTGGAGTTATTTTACCAAAAAATATAATTGATTTTACCACCCGGTCTAAGTTACCCCAAGAGCTGGGGTAACAAAGACCACAACTTTTTTTGAAATTACATAAAGACTACAAGAGGCAGGAGCCAGCAATTTGTGGTGAGTGAAGCTAGAGTATAGACCTGTATTTTGCATGTTTCAATTCAAGTTTAATTTAGCTAGTAAAAAAATGGCATCATTTATAAAAAAAAAGTGGTCTAAGTTACCCCATTTTACGGTACCTCATGAAAATACTACATAGCTAAGTAAGCTATATGGCTGAAAATAGTCATTGCATGGTTTTCCACCACCTTCATTGCATGCATAGCTAGAGTTTTGATTTAATAATTGTAAAGCTAAAAATTTAAAAAAGAACACCTAAACAAAAAATACTAAATGTGTTAGTTCCAAATATATATGAGGTACAAACCTGTAAGTTGTGAAGTAACTGAGTTTTCAAGACTGACATAATATGCATTAAAAAATTACTTTTTAAAGATAACAATTCTAAAAAATCCAGTGTTTGATGTTACACAGGTACAATGAATTTTTAATTTTATTTTCAAATATTAAAAAAATTAATTTCAAATTTTTTGAATATATAAAAATTTTGTAAATTTTTTAAATTATTTATTCTGTCAAATGATTCATGCATTTATATATGAAAATTTTGTAAATTTTCAAAATTATTTATTCTATCAACTGATTCATAAATTGTCTCTGACTTTATGCAAGTGTGCAAAATTTCAGATTGATTGGACAGGTAGAAGTGTGTCAAATATCATTATAAGATAAGTAGCAGACAAAATTTTAAAAATATTTTTAATATAAAGAAAACAATTTTTAATGAATAAAAATATTTATTCTGTCAATTGATCCATGCATTGGCTCCAACTTTAGGCAAGTGTGCAAACTTTCAGATCAATTGGACAAGTAGAAGTGTGTCAAATACTGTTAAAGAGAAGTGTTGTAAAAAAGGAGTAGACGACCCTGAATGACATTAAATGACAACTCTAAAACAAAACAAAATACTATGGTAATGAAGTAATTAGATTAACATAATTTACCTGCATCTTTTGGATGGCATCCCATCCTTCTTGAACAGATTTGATGTCAATGTATACAGTCTTGAATGGTAATAACAGCTGATCTATGATTCTAAGTTGACCATCATGCCAAATAATAGCTTCAAGTGGAGCCATTTCTGAGAATCCATCATAGGAATTAAATTATTCAATACAACAGTAACATGTAAATTTAAATGAAAGTAAAAATAACAACTATTTTAAAAGACCATAATAAACATACCTATCTTTTAAACCATATGATACTGACTATTCAGCATTGCAAAATTATTGCAGCCTTCAGCCCAATTGTGTAGCTGTGTGGTTAGGCATAGACAAAGGTTTGTAGAGTGCATGGTACAAGCCTCTAAAAACCTTTGTCAATTTGAGTTACAAAAAATACACTAACTGTAAAATATTATAACTTCGTACCCATTACGAAGTCCTCCAACTTGCTCCGCAGTCATTCAAATTAATGCCATGAAATAAAAAAGAAAGTGACCGTCAACCGGGGCTACTCGGGACGGGCGGGGTAACTCGGGGCAGTCCTCCGGCACGGCATAAAACTGTTTTAGTAGCAAAACTAATTGGAATATTGCAAAACTAAATATAGTGGTGTAAACGTCAACATTTTTCCTAGCTATGTAGTATAAAGGAAGTTCAAAAATACTACATTTACTAGCTTTGAAAAATTCCTGAAAAAATGGTGAAAAACAATATTTTGAAAAGTTACTTCTGCTAAGTCTGTAGTAAAAAAAATATTTGCCGTATTAAAAAATTTTGCTTAAAAAAAAGTGGCAGACAAGTGTCAGCATGAAAACTTTATTTGCAGAAGTTACATACCTCAATCCAAAAAAATGGTGGCCATTTCCGCATGGCGGGGCTACTCAGGACACCCCCCAGGGCTATTCGGGACACCCACCAAAACGCATTTACAGTAGAACCTCAGTTAGCAAAGGCTCCAGTTAAGAAAAAAATTGATTAAAAACAAAGAATATTGATGGCACTTACTTTGCTCAGCAAAAAATTTCATTTATTGAAAAATTAGTGCATCATCAGTCATCACAAAATTGTGCATAGAATGTCATATATAGAATTGTGCACCAGGCATCATAGAATGAAAAGTAATTGACCTAAACTATGATTATTTCTCCAAAACATAGGATGGTTGTCACTAAAACATTCCTTTTTGTTTCAGTCATGTTTTTCACGATTTTTTTATAGTAAATTCACTTAACCCAATTAAAATGGTGTGAAATTACAAGCCGTCCTGTAAGCTTACAGATACAGAAAAAAATGCTATATATAAAGCTGCTGATATGAAGCTTGCAGTGGACAAGGTACTAGTTGAAATGCTCAATGGCCTGTTGATGGATACGGTAATATTGCATCAATAATACGGTAATTAATGTATATGGTAATATCATATCAATAAAGGAAAAACAAGTAAAAATAACAGAAAATGTCATTTACCTATTCTACCTCTACATCATCTACAATGAAACAGGACTTCAGAGTACTGTTACTCTGTTAGTAATGGATGAGTACACTCTGCATGTTTCAAATGTTTTAAAATTAAGTTTTATTCCAAAGGTCCCGAGTAGCCCCGTCGAACGGGTACCTACTCTTTTTTGCTTCTAGCACCTTACAAATAGCATAGTATGGATTTTTTTTGTAGAAACCATGTGATAGCCCTTGCAAAGAGCTTTGAAATGAGCCTAAACTTGTTAATGAAATGTTTCATGGTAAGAAGTTATGAATGAAAAATGTTCAAAATTGTCCCGAGTAGCCCCGGTTGACGGTAGTGGATAGTCACTGGATACAATATAAAATATTACCTTAAAATTACTCTGAATATAATTTAAGCATTTGGACAAATCCTGTTGTTTGGAGGTTGGGTAAACGCGGTATATTCCGACATCGTAGGTAATTCCGTCACCTCTCCAGCTTTTCCTTTATATTAAGCTTTGTTTTAGTTCCATGCGTTAATAGTTTTTCATTTCTCGATGCGTCCTTAATGTGTCGGAATATACCGCGTTTACCCTAGATAGCTGGAGTCTGGAGACTCACTCATGGAAATGAGGGCATCAGCAATTGCCAGTCTTGATGGGTCAGGGCACTGCATAACTATGCTGGTGCTGCCGTGGTGCATGCCTCCAAATCCCAATGTCGCTCAGGTGATCATGATGGTCTCATTGTGAGACTCCTCCCCGACCTCCTGCATGTGGTTCTTATGTCCTCCAGTTATTGGTGCGCTAAGGCACGTAAGGTGGCATGTGTCTGTGTGAGCTGTCGGCTCAAGGTTGTGTGATTAAGTCTCATTAAGACAAATGTAGTTTATGTTTTAGAGAAGTCTACAACCTTTTTTATTACAAGAGAATTTATACAAATTAGTTTCTTGAAGCAGACCAGATTTTTTTACAGGGATTATTATTCATTACAAGGTTTTTAATTTCCTTATTTTTGTAGTGGATGAGAAGTTTTATATTTTCGATATCCATTGTTCTCTTTATATTATTATGGATGATTGACTGTAGGACTCAGGACTGTAGGACTTAGCTAATCCACTTTGTAGCCTTTGTACAGCTGGTTTTGGTAGAAGACCATTGCCTTTGGGAATTAGGGGGTTCCATTAGATATTGCTTCATGGTTGGTTCGGTTTTCTCTCAATTGCTAATTAGATATTTCAGTGTCAACTGTTCTATTTCAAAACCCATTATTCACTAGAATTTGTTTACACGATCCAAGTTCAGTTATCAAATCACTCTCAGATGTGCAGGTTTTGAATTTTCTTTGTACGAGAAAGTGCACTGTGCTGGTTTCATAGCACTGAGGTCATTCACTTTCTTTGTTTAAGCATTTTCCCGACATCAGTAGATTTTTGGATGTTGTTTCTAAGTTCTCATTTTATAAAGAAGGTTGCAGACTTCTTCAAAACATAAACTACATTGGACTTACTAGCATGACCTCAAGCCAACAACTCACATACTACCCACCTAACCACCTTACACCTACAAGTTACAACTTACAACTCATGGCAGTGAGAGTGAGGTGTTGTTTCACTTCGAACTTTCGAAGGTATTATGTAGATACCTAGATGGTAACTTAGCGTGAAGGGGTTTTTAACGGAATAGTTATTTTAAGCTATATAATTGATGATTTAAAAAAATATATTTTCATTTCTAAGAAAGCGGCGAGGCCCAGTACCATTTGGTCCATGGCCCAGTAGTACCGCAGCACGGTGTACGAATTTCGGTCATTAGCCGGTCAGGATTGGTAACATTACCGGACACTGGTTAGAGGTTAGAAATCCGGACAAAATCGAGTCCGGTTATGTACATTCGGGCGGGAGCGCAGCCGTGCACGACCAATTTTGTGCACCAATAAGCCCTGAATCGAACGCCTTGGATCTCTCCGGATATCCACCAATCAGCCGTGCACCACTCGGCTTTGTCCTCCTCCGGCCTCTTGACCACCACCTGCGACCTGCCGTGCACCCCAGGCCGCGGATAGAATATGACTTCCGGGCATCGTCAAATTACGTAATTTTACGTTCACCGCATCTGATGTTAGGTTTCAGATAGCATAGTTCTGTTCAAAAATATATCGTCCTTCGACAAGTGAACGTCCGACTGAGGACTGGTTCTTTTCTTTTCTTTAGTTGGAATTTATGGGAGCCTCTGAAGACTTGTTCAATGCGGCCCCACGTCAGAACAGTTCAAGGTATTTGACTGAATTTTGTATTAAGGTACAATATTGGGTGTCTTGAAAAAAATTTGAGATTTCTCAATGGCTGAAGGGTTGCAGAACGGGGCCACCAAAGTGGAGACCACACCGGGGCGGAGAGCACCACTCCAGGGCAGAAAGCCCCACTCCAGGGCAGAAAGCCCCACTCCAGTGCAGAAAGCCCCACTCCAGGGCAGAAAGCCCCACTCCAGGGCAGAAAGCCCCACTCCAGGGCAGAAAGCCCCACTCCAGGGCAGAAAGCCCCACTCCAGGGCAGCCAGCCCCACCAGATGCATTGTGGGATCAGCCGCCATATTTGTAGCAGGGTCTAGCTTTCGCCTACGTGTTAAATCTACTGCGATCGTCTCTTTTTGAAGTTTTTGCTTGAAGATGGGACGCTACTGCTACTAGGATGTACCAGTCGTTCTCACAGCCATTTAAACAGAAAACTGTACAATGGAATGCGTTTATTCAGTTTACTAGCCGCGAATGCCGTGTATATCGTATCAGTTTATGGCTCGTACTGATATACGTATCGCATATCAGCTTACCAGCTGTGAATATTTATTATATACGATACTATACATTTTCCAGGGGCAAAATCTGTTACTTGCCTTTAGATAAGCTACATAATTAAGAATAAAACGTAATAGTATTAACAGATCAGATACATTGTCCTGCAGCGATGATAGTGTTGTTGCAGTTGGCTGGAAGATCAAAATGATTCGCTTTGTTCTATAACATCAAATGTTTCGAGTTCTTTACATTGCCTTTCAATTTCGATATAAATTTGTTTTGCAAAACGTCGAGGTTTCTGGTGAATTGGTGTGTTGTTGGTCAGTTCTGTGGTCTGAGGTGTCACATGAGCGCGTCCAATATCGGGATCGGTATTACTATGAGCCGTCCGAACCCTGGTTAACTGGTAAGCATTGATAAAATTCTATCCTTTTCCTCTTCAAAAGGGTGAAGAGGAATTCTATTTTCCATTCTTAGAAGGTTCCATTCATCAGCATCATTATCTTTGTCCAGTTGTACTAGGTACCAAGCTAACTCTACAGAGTACATCGCCTTTCTTGATTCGTTGAAGATTCGTTTCTCCATCACCTATACCCATCCATACACAAATTGATTGTAAGCTTCAAGCGTCTTGTATGCCTCGAATTCCTGCAAGGTGTATTGGCTGACCACCAAACACCAAATAGTTCAGTAAATCACCGTGGTAAACGGGAGGCAGGCTTGCAAAATCTGCACATCACGGCTTTACCGGCACTTCATTGGCATCAACATCGTTAATATCGAACTAATTTCTTAAATATCTTTCTCTCACTGAAGGAAGGAGTTTTTGACAACAGCCTAATCCTTTCTGCCTTGTTCTTTCTTTCTTCATTGCTACCAAAACGTCCAAATGTGTAGGAACGAAAGAGTAAGCTGAGGCGCCAGTGTGA